TGAATGCTATCTGATACATTGCTTGCCTCCATTTCACTTAGTTCTTTTTCTGGGGGATTTCCCCTGTTTTTCATTTGGGATATGTTTCTTTATCTCCCCATTTTGGCTGCCTCTTTGCATTTGTTTCTGTGTATTAAATAGACCTTCTGTGTCTCCCAGTCTTAGTATGGTGACATGTAGTAGGTGTTTGGGGCTCAGTGGCACAGTCTCTCTAATCACCTGAGCCAGGTGCCCCAGGGATACCCCGGTGTGTGGTATATGAGCTTCCTGTTTATTGTTGAGTCTTGATTGCTGTTGGCCCACCCTTGTGTGTGGTTGACCCTCAGGCTGACTCACTGTGAGGGTCAACCCTGACCACAGTATATGTGCTGCTATGTGGGAGCTGACCCCATGAAGCAGAATTCACCCCAGCAGGGTCTGGTGCCTGCTGAGATCTCCCTTTGGGTGTGTCACTTGTGGAGCTAATTGGTCTGTGCTCTGACATGGGGTGAACCCCACCCCCACCGGTGTTTTGGTTCTAGGGCCTCTTGATTGTGACTCCGGTACAGGCCAGTGTAGACAGTGCCTGGTCTACCAATTTGGAGCTACAACGCAATCCACAGTTTGTGGCTTCTTCTGATGGACCTGGGAGTGCATGGGAGGGGCCAACCTGCACATCAAGGCCAGCTTCCTCCAGCACCAAGCCCAGGGGCAGGTCAGCAAAAGGCTCAAGGCAGCCTGAGACCTGCCTCTGCCTGCCGGCTGCCGGTTAGGCTCAGTCACCGAAAGAGCCTCCAGTGGTGCTCGCTTTGCGTGAAGTAGGTTCTCAGTGAGCCAGCGGGTAGGGTGAGTGGTGCTCACTAGACTGATACAGGTTCAAACTCAGTGCCATGCTGGTCTGAGGCCACTCAGCAAAAATCCCAAGTGCACCAAGTCCAGCTGTCCCTGCCCGGGCCTGCTGGCCTTCGTGCTGGGCCAGGTCTCAGGGAGAGGCCAGCAGAGCTCATCAGGTTTAAACAGACCAAGATCAGGCCATGTGGAGGGAGGGCTCTGCCCAGGGGCAGTCAGTGTGCGAGGGGAAAATGGCCCCTGCCCTAGAGCCACACGACTCAGTCTCCCCAAGTCTGCCCAGACCTCGAAGGGCATTCCAAGCAAACCTGCACCAGGGCCAGGCTGGCCACAGCCAGCTACCTCCTCCGCAGGTGTGAGCTCGGCAAAGTGGAGCCCTGGGAGCCAGGAGGGTGTGGCTGGTGGGTGTCCCATAGGGGGTGGTCCCAGTCAGGTGGGGCAGGGAGTGATGGCCCCCACCCCAGAGCCGCATAACTCAGCCTCTGACACCCCGAGTCCACCTGGACTTCCTCAGAGCCCTTGAGAAAGTCTACACCACGAGCGCAGGCAGCTGATTCTACAGGGTGTGAGCTTGGCACGGCGGGCACCAGGGAGTCCTGAGTGTGGGTTCGTGCATCTCCCTAGGCGGATGCGGTATGCAGGGGTGTGCCTGGCCCGGGAAAGTGGGGTCTGTGGGCCTCGTGGGAGAGGGACTCAGCACAGGGACCACCTTCAGTCTGAACTGTAAAGATCAGCTCTTTGCAAGGCACCTTTCCCCAGATATTGACCTTCCTAATAACTCATCTGCAGTCCTTCTGAGTGCCCGTCACTGGTGTCCGTGGGAGAGAGGCCGAGGAGGGGGTGGGGGAGGGAGGCTGAGGCCTTGCCGAGGACCCCATTCCACGGCGGGTAACCCCATTAGTAACAAGACAATGAGATGACAGATCAGAGGTCAGTAACCCTGAGATCTCTGGCTCCCCCTCAGCCTGGGCGCCTGGGGCACCTCACAGCTCCCCTCTCAGCCTCCGCACCTCACTCCCAGGATGAGGCTGAGAATCCAGCGAGGCTAGAGGTGAGGAGCCCTTGTGAAAATTACAAACAGCTGCTGTGAGAATTTTTTTATTTGAAGAGGAAGGCAAGAGCACACAGCTGGGGAGGGCGGGAGGAGCTCGGGGTGAGGACCTGGACCCAAAGTCTGGGCCCATCTTTCCTCGTCCGCCTTCTCTCAAATAGCTTGTCTGAGCAGGAAAGCAGAGAGCTTCCAGGGCCCAGAGCCAAGCCAAGCCTGGGAGCGCCTGCCTGGGTCACAGCAGAACAGAATGGCAGAGGCTAAGGCTCCAGGAAGCCACCGTGAGCGAGGGAGAGAGCACTGGGCAGAGAGTTCAAAGAAGGGTCCCTCCTCCATTCACTCACTCACTCACTCATTCCAGGATCTTGGAAAAATCTCTCTTTGAGCTTCAGTGGTCTCATCTTCAAATGTGGACAATAATGCCTACCGGTAGGATTGTAGAGAGGACTCTGTCACTGCCTGGCACACAGTAGCTGCTCAATAAATGTGTGCAATGACTGCAAAGATGAGGATGCTTTCCAAAGCCCCTCTTGCTCTCAGGTTCTCTGCGACCAACCCAGGCATAGCCCCTAGGCCCCTGATCATCTGTGCTGGTGCCTAGAGAGCTGGGCACAGTGAGGCCCTCAGGGCACTTGTCTCCCCACCAGCCCCACGGAGCGCTAGTCATTGGGCCTCGCTGCTTCCCCATAAGGAGGCTTGGATTTCATTAACTCATTTGCCTGGGCTCCTGGTGCCCAGCTGAAATCACTCGATGTGGGAGCTGGGTTCTGCAAGAGGCCGGCATTGATCCTTAAAGCTTAGCATCTGCACTCAGCTGCCATGTGTGGGCAGCTGGCCTGGCAGCTGGAGTGGAGCCAGGCTGGCGGGAGCAGGAGACCTAATCCTGCTCTGAGCTCTTCAGGGAGCAAGGCTCCAGCCGCAGCACCGGGTTCCAGCTGCCGTGGCCAGTGGCTTCCTTGCATTTTAGTTGGACCTCCCACCCCCACCACCATGAAGGGTCGGTAGGCACAGTCAGCAAAGAGTTATGCCATCTGCCACTGGCCACTGGAACAGCACTTGCAAAGTGTGCTCGTCAAGGGAAATATTAATAGATCCTGCAAACACTGTAAACAAAGCCCTTGACTGCAGTACTTCTCAGGGCCTTTCATTTCTGTCACTAAAATTGTATTGGGTGCCTATTAGGTGCCAGGTACTCACCTCGCTGCTGGGAATAAATGGTAAATGAGACAGGATGGATGGTCTTGTGAGCATATTCTAGTTAGTGAGATAGAAAATAAATGCATAAGTAAATGAGAACTTCAAATAGTGCTGAGCCCGTGAAGAGAGTAAACCAGCAAAGGCAGAGAGTCATGGGCGTGCTGAGGTGCGGTATGATTGTCTAAGGCTGCGGTCGGCAAACTCATTAGCCAACAGAGCCAAATATCAACAGTACAACGATCGAAATTTCTTTTGAGAGCCAAATTTTTTAAACTTAAACTATATAGGTAGGTACACTGTTATTAACTTAATTAGGGTACTCCTAAGGCTTAGGAAGAGCCACACTCAAGGGGCCAAAGAGCCGCATGTGGCTGGCAAGCCGCAGTTTGCCTCTTTTTAAAATCCTGATTTCTGTCCTCATCCTCCAGAAAGTCTGTTTGTTACTAATGTTGTGGCCCCACCCCATAACAAAGAAACAGAATTTCCGGAGGATGAGGCCTAGAAATCAGGATTTTAAAAAGATTCCCAGGTGATTCTAATGTGCAGCCAAGGTTGAGAACCACTGGTCTAAGGAGAAGCAGAACTGCATTTTCCATGAGCTCCTCTCAGATCAGAATTCCTGGGAAAGGCCTTGAGGGAACACACCACTGGAATGATCCCTCTAAAATGCAGATTAAATGCGTCAGCCTTTGAAATGAATCACGTCAGCGCCCCCATCGCCTCTAGAGTGGCATTTAAGGCCTTCTCTTGGCTGCCCACCCCCCACCCCCCAGTCTAGCTCATTTCCCACCACCTCCCATGAAAAGTGCCAGCTTAAAAACTCCCATCATATCCCACAGAGTTTGCGAAGGGGTTCTCGCTTCTCAGGAAGTCCTTCCCCACGTCTTCACCTGTAGACACATCCTCAAATGAGGCTGCGTTAGCCAAGGTAGGCAATCTGCTGTGATAAGCAGCTCCAACCTCAATGACTTGGTACCTTACAAGGGTGTTTCTACCCCAGTGAGTCGGTTGCGGGGGGGGGCATAGCTCTCCTTCTACTGGGCCTCAGAGCCCTGCCCTAGATGCCAGGCTTGTGGCCAGGGCAGGGAGAAGAGGGGGTGAGTGTGGAGTGGGTGCATCATGTTAGCCCCATCACAGAGTGAGAATTTGGTCATTCAGGCCCACCGGGCTGCTAGGAACTATAGTTTTATTCTTAGCCATAGGAAAAGGAAACTTGGCCAATAACATTATCTGGGCCACAGTGACCCAGTTCAAATGTCAACATCTCCTGGAAGTCTTCCTGACCTTTTGCTCAGCAAAATAAGAACAGAATAAACTAAGGGCAGTGGCTTGGTGTGAGAGAAGGGACACAGGATGGGACTCAACAGACCTGACCTCATGCTCTGTCTCTGTAATGTGTGAGTGGGCTGGAGGTAATCTGCTTCTGACTCCTTAGCTTTGCCAGCTCCCTAACTACATAAGGGACTCTATAGTTCCTTCAGCTATAAAACAGAGGTGATGGTGATGGTGATGGTATTAATGATGGTAATGGTGATGGTGATGGTATTAATGATGATGGTGGTGATGGTGATGGTGGTGATGGTAACTATGATGATGGTAATGGTGATGATGGTAACGATGATGATGGTGGTGGTGATGATGGTGATGATGATTGTGGTGATGATGATGGTAACGATGATGATGGTGGTGATGATGGTAATGATGATGATGGTGATAGTGATGGTGTTGATGGTGATGATGGTGATGACAGGATACAGATTAGTTGGGAGGACAAAATGAGGTAATCCACATGAAGTGCCTGACCCATAGCAAGTGCTCAAAAATGTCATCTATTATTAGCATGAGGTCTAAGACCCTGAGTCAGGCCACCAGTCCTCTGCCCCAACCTTGTCGTGAAGATAATAGTGAGGGGGTGGTGGAGACACTTCTCCCAGAGGCGTCGATCCACCTCATAGACTTAACCTGCTCTTCTGCAGTGTCAGGCTCCGGCACTGGAGGACGGGGTCTGGACGACCTAAGATCTGGTCACATCCCAACCCAGTCTTCCAGCCCCAGTTTCTGAGGGTGCTTGGTTGTGCATCTGTCACCCAGAGGGTGCGCGCTGTGACCAGGCACACCTGGGCCCAGGGACAAAACAGCCTCCTGCCAGCAGTGCTGGGCTCGAGGGAAGCAACACCTGAAGGCCACCCAAAAGGTGAAACAACGGGCCTAACGCCAGGGGAATGGGCACAATGGAGCTATTTACTAGTAGTTTCCTACAGAGTGAGCCCTCTCTATGTGGCAGGTACTCATCCAGGAACTGAGGATAGGTCGGTGAATGTAATAGGGATCTCTAGTCTTGCGTGGCATATATGCTAGTGGGAAGAGACAGACATTACACAACCACCACAGTAAATAAGTGAGTGATATGCTAGGTCCATAAGTGCCACGGAGAGGCAGACGGGGAGGGGTGAGGAGGACAGGCAGGCAGCACAGCGCAGCATTGAACATTGGGCAAAGGCCTGAAGGGGGTGCTGAGTGAGAGACATAGATCTGGGAAAGGGCTTCCTGGGCAGGGGGCAGCGGGGCAGCGGGGCAGAGGGCAGGGGGCAAAGCCTGAGGCCAGAGTGTACTTGGCAAGTAGGAGCGGGCGCACTGCCAGGCGAATAAAAATAACCCTCAGAATAGTAAGGGCCGTCCCAAGGTGGTCAGAGCACAGAGCGTTTCTGCACGAAGCAGGGCAGCTCCCCCTGGCAAAGGCTGTGAGCCAGCCCATTTGCTCCTAAGTCCAAGGGCCGGGGCGGGGCGGAGGGTGGGGGGAGCGGGGTAGGCGAAGCTGCTGCCCAGGGCCGGTTCTGAGATGGGAGTGTGGCCGGGCCTCTGAGGCTCTGAACCAGGCTCTCTTCCTTCTCACGCACTTGGTGTTTAACAAGCGTCTTGTCCCAAAATAGACCAGTTGGGTTGACACTGGAAAGTCACTGACGTGGGTGGCCCTTCTGGCCGCCACCAGGACCCCTGGGCGCCCCTAGCAGCTGCGCCGCCGGCACCTGCAGCCTCGGCTTGGTTGGATGTTGGCAGATTCCTTGACCTTGAACCTGAAGAACCGTCCTTGGCTGCTGCACAGGTTCCCTCGGCACCACTGCACCATTCTCAGCCTTGACCGGCTCTTCAGACCGGCATCGGGCACAGGTGCTGAGCGGCACGCAAGCACCTCGGGCATTTCCCCGTGCTGACCTGGACTGCCAGGTGCACAGGCCTGGCCCAGCCCCTGCCACCTGTCGTATGGTTACTCCCTGTCCTCCTGTCACACAGCTCGTCCCGCCAGGATCAGCACAACGCTTGTGCCTTGCTCTCCTCTTACATTTAAAATGAGCCCACGCTGGAGTCCATTGTGCTCGTTTCCCCTTCTTCCCAGCCCTCGCGGCACCCACGGCTTTCCTATTTTCCAATAAAATCCCTCCAAACTCCACAAACGTGAGACAGAGGCCGCAGTGAGGAGCCTCGGTGCAGGAGGGCGGCGGGCACCTCCGTGCTGAGACCCGGTGCCTCTGGCCGGGCTGGCTCCTGGCTCGGTCGTTGAACGTTTGAAAATAGAGGCGTTCTCTTGGCTGTGTTTGTAAGGCAGCTCCTTGAACCCTCCTCCCAGCCCTTCCTAGCGTCCCATCCGCTGGGGGTTGGTATTCAGTGGACTCCAGGCTCGGCAAGGGCTGCTGCTGGACCGCCGTCTCCGGGGCTGCTGGGCTGTTCTTCCCTCCTCATGCGCCCTCCCCGCCCCTTCCCTCTCCTCTATGCGAGAGGTAAGCACCAAAATAAAGGGCAAGCTGCCCCAGGTCAGCAAGCAGCCTCCTCTGAGGGTGGCTTTGGGTGGTGACATCACCCGGAAGTGGCTTGTGCATCAGTGATGCCCCTGACAGTCACTCGTCAGCACATGGTGCCCCGGACGGGAGGCGGGCGTGGGGCGCATTGATGAGCACCCCCAGTAACCTTTTATTTCCTGCCCAGACTCTTCCATGGAGGGTCTGCCAGTCCCACCACATCCATGTGATGGTGATATGATGATGCCCATTTTAGAAAGGAGCATGAGTTCAGGGAAGTGAAGTGTTTTCATTCATGCATTCATTCACAGCGTGCCTGCTGCATGCTCACTGCTGGCTAAGAGCTAGCATTCAAGTCCAGGGTTGCTGGGTCCCCACTGATCGTGCTACCTGGACCTTGGGCCCCAGAGAACGTGACGCCTGTCAGCCAAGGGGACCCACACGTAACATTTCAGTGCAACTCACAGAACGGTGCTCAACAAGGACTCAGAGCAAGAGTGGTTCCAAGGGGCGGGGAGCTGGGAAGTCAGGAGAGGTGGCGTTTGTGCGGGGTTGGCACACACTGCGTGGAGGCCCTGAGGCCGGGCCCAGCGGAGGGAGTGGTGATATCTTCAGGGACTAGAGCACCCTGGGTGGTCAGCATGTGGGGCTCAGGGGCCGCCTGGCCTCCTCAGGCCCCGCCGGGCAGACAGCAGCTTGGAGCCACTTCCACGCCTCGGGTGCTGGCCTTGCGTGCCGGTCAGTCCCAGAGCCCAGAAGGGACCGCTCTGAGCCCAGGCCGCAGCGGGAGGGCCCCGGCCATCGGCGGCCTGTGGTGCCCTGTTCTCTCAGGCATCGTCTCTCAGCAGGGCCTCTGAGGCGGCTCCGCTGCCTCCCCAGGCCCTCCGTCCGCTCCCGCCCCTGCAGCCGGTCCTCCTGGGCTCCCCTGCCCACGGAAGCATTGCACGCAGTCACGTGTTCGTGCTGAATCGACCGAGTCACTCTGCAAGGTGCCAGGGATGCACTGGGGCCCTGACAGACGAGCCTGTTATCCAGGCGCACGCCCTCGAACAGGGAATGGGTGCGGAAGAGGCGGCTGCGTGCTGTGGGGTGCGGTGAGCCCAGGGCCTCAGGGGCCTGGTCCCAGGGTTTTTCAGGGAAAGTGAAACCTGGCTGTGACCTGAAGATGGGAAGTTCATGTGGGAGGTGGGTCGGCAGGAAACTGAGACCCAGACCAGCACAGGCGGGACCCATGTGTGCACAGGCCGAGGAGAGGGAGGGGAAGGGGAACAAGTGCCTCTGGGCGGGGTGAGGGGAGAGGCGCCAGCATGGAGATGTGGCTGCAGGAGCTGCAGTCGCCTGTCATGGAGAGTGCACAGAGCCCAGGGGAGCCGTTCCGACCTCATCCCGGGGACGGTAGAAGGAAAGGCAGGACACGGGGTGCTCTGACCGGGTGACAGCAGGCTCACTGGGTGCTCTGACCGGTGACAGCAGGCTCACTGGGTGCTCTGACCCGGCGACGGCAGGCTCACTGGGTGCTCTGACCGGGTGACGTAGAAAAAGCATCTGGCACCATCTTTGTTTTGTACAAGGAAGGCCAAGCTCGGGAGGGAGGCAGTGGGGCCGGGATCCCTGGGCTGAATGGTAGAACCCAGGTGTGCCGACTTAGCTGGTGCTCACACCTGAGCCTGGGTGTGGGCCACAACCTGATCCCCTTTGGGGAGGGGCTGAGGATGCGGAGGGAGAGCTCACACCATCCTGACGGGTAGGGATGGCTCCTTCCTGGGCGACAGCTCATTCCTGGGCGCCGGCCACAAGGCACAGCTCAGGCAGCGTGTTCCCAGGGAGCCTGTGTTCTGGGCGCCGGGGAGGGTCCGCCCCTGCAGCCCCGCCTCCCTGCTCCCTGCTGGACAGAGGCTGTGCCCAGCCCTACCCGCCATCTCTAACCCTGGAACCTTCCGGAACACTTGGACCGGGCAGGCCAGGACTGCAGTTTAAGCTTTGCTAAGCATTTCCTGTCACTGCCTCATGAATTATTTAGCAAATGAAGATTAATTTTACAATAATAAGTAAAGGCTCGGAAGGATGGGGTGGTGGGGGGGCGGATGCTACGTACCCTGGTGAAAGCTGGGAGGGTTTTACACAGTTTGACTCTGATGCTGGGCCGCAGGCCTCGCCCCGTGTGTCTCAGGAGGCTGGTGGATGGCCCCGGGGAGCTGGTCAGGAGCTGGATTCCGCAGGACCCTCGGGAGGAGGTGGGCAGAGGCAGGGTGGGAGGGCTGTCCCCTCCCAGCGTAGCAGCTCCGGAAGCTGTGGTCAGACTCCGAAAGGCTGGGTTCTGGTTCCCGGTTTCCCACAAATGAACTGGATGCCCTCAATGTGCTTAGACGTGAATAGGACGGTGGCTGCTTGCCCAGTCCACTGCATGGGGCAGCGTCCTCGCTCCAGGCCCCGGAGTCGGGCAGGACCTGTCTTGATAGGATGTGTCTTAGGCTCAAGCTGTTCCCATGTTCCCTCCACCTACTCTCACCTGGGCCCACAGGAGGGTCAAGGTGGCGGGTGAGGGAGGCTGGGTAGGACTTGGATTGATGACTAGGAGCCTGGAAAGAAAAAAGTGTCATCCTGCTACTCACCTTCCAGTCTCACCTCTCTCTCTCTCTCTCTCTCTCTCTCTCTCTCTCTCTCTCTCTCTCTCTCTCTCTCTCTCTCTCTGAACATAGCCCATCTGTCTTTCTAAAGCTCTCCTCAGTGGCCTCCATGGTGAACAGGTGCCGTCGAACTCCCTTCCCAGCATGCAAAGCCTCCCCATCCAGCTCCCCTGACCCCCGAACTCCTGTGGCCCCTGACATGACCCCAGCTCCAGTCATAGGTGTCCCTAACCCTGAACCTCCCACAGGGGCTGAGGCTGCCCTGTGCCCCCATCTTCCTTCAGGGCCACTGAGCACCTAGTGCACGGGCCTCGTGCGTGTGTCACTTTAGAGCGGTTTGTCTCATCTTATTCTCACGGCACCTCTGAGGTCAGCGCTGTGATGAGCCCGCTATTTACAAAGTGAGAACTGGGCAAGGAGGAGGCAACCGGCCCGGAATAGCATCCATAGGTGACACAGCCAGCTCTCGGCTCTCGACAGGCCGACAGGCCGACTGCCATCTCCTCTCTCCTCTGCACACTGCATACTCCTCCCCTCCCCCTCTCCTCCTCCCCCTAGCCTCCTCCCCCTCCCATTTCTCCCTTCTCCCTCTTCTCTCCCCTCCACGCCCCCCTCCTCCCCT